GGGCTGCGGAGTCGATGCATTTTTGGGTGACTCCGACTCCGACTCCGACTCCGGCTTCAAAAATCAACTCTGACTCCGACTCCGGACGGTTCTATTAAAATCCATATCATGATATTGAAATTCATAATGGAGATGTTTTAATCTTGCAATAAAACGATCTCTTGTGCGTTCCAAGGCTTTACGTTGCAAACACTTGCATCAAAAATAACATGCAGAATTAACAAACAGGTTCTGGAGAATCACCAGTGGCTCCTGCTTCTTTCGCTCACAACTTTCGTCCAAAACAGCAAAATAGCCTTTTATCGACAAAGTCTAAGTTCGAGCGCAGTATCGTTAATCGAACAGACAATGCATGAAGTTGAGCCATGCAGCGTTAACTCCGACTCCGGAGTCGGAGTCGGAATCGGTAAGATTTTGGCGACTGCGACTCCGACGCCGACTCCGACCGACTCCACCTCCGACTCCGGCTCCGACTCCGCAGGTTACTGGTGAAAAGGGACACCACCTCTTGTCTAATCCTTTCAACGCGAGCACCCCGACATCTCCTGGGATGCCCGAAAACGTTTGAGGAATATTATCAAAATCTTCTGATGACAAGGGATGCATGTTTTATATCGGTCGATCGGTGTCGATCGTTGAGGTGCTCCTGCATTTGCACAACATAACCTAATCCGATGTCCCGCAGTCCTGGAAACATTCCCTCCCATCCTCAAATCCGGTGATTTGTCTAACCCGTCCGCGCGGCGTCCAACTTCCGTCCTATATCCATCGTACCTGTCATCACCAAAATCCAAGGCTAAATCCTAGAACGAGCTGTTCACTAACAACTCTATTCCTCCCTGTCCGTAAACCATCTCCTATCTCCTAACCAGCACGGTTTCCGACCCCATCATTCTACCGAAACCGCGCTCGCATCCACTTCCGACCATATCCTATCCGCATCTGACTATGGACAGGTTTCCCTTCTCTGCCTGCTGGACTTGGGCAAATGTTTGGATGTGATTGACCACTTGAAACGCCTTTCAAAATTACAGGCACACGGAATTAAAACGCCATGGTTTTCTGCATATCTTATAAACCATACTCAGAGTGTCAGCTTCACTGACAATCACGGTGGAATCAAAAAGTCCCGCTCGCTGCCCAACAGCATCGGAGTTTTTCAGGGTTCAGCCTCAGGCCCCTCCTCTATTGTGTCTTCACCAATGACCTCAGTTTGTTTGCCGAGGGCGCAGTAGTAGTTCAATACGCAACCGACACACGAATCCTAATACAGATACAGATACAGATAGTTTATTAAGACACCTCCATAGCATGGATTTTATGGGTCTACGTCATTACAGCACGATAAAATAAAAGCAAATACATCTACATAGCGCATTCACAAAAGACAGACAATATACTCAGGTACATAAACTGGAACGGACTAAAACATATCATCTAGATATACCTAATCACGGTGCTGTCACCGCGTTCTGCGTGACAGCGTTCCACGCCTTAGCACCACGGTATAAAAAGCTGCGTTTTGCGAACTCAGTCCTCGCCCGAGGCAACTCGAGCTGACCGCCCTCGGTAGCACGCGTGCGGCGGGAGGATACGGCTGAGCGTCTCACAAGCAAGCTGCTCAGCAGCTGTGGGGCGTGATGTGATGTAATGAGGTGGCGCACAGTGGCGAGATCTCGCTCGGTAATGATCTCATCGATACTGGGCCACCCTAGTTCCAGCAGCGATGGAGTCACATGGTCTCGCATACTGAGGCCGTTCACGATACGGACACCGAAATTAATAGCTTTTTGCACGCGCCGTCTCTGAGCAGCAGTGCAGCTTCCCCACACCGTAATGCAATAGCGGATGTGGGGAAAAACGAGGCTTTCTACAAGTAGGCGCCTGACACACTTCGGTAGTTTGTGTCTGTTCCGTGCGAGACACAAGAGGACGCAGTAGCACCGTTGGACAATCAACGTGATGTGGCTGGTCCATGTCAGGTGCTGGTCAATGATAACACCCAGGACCTTGACGCTCTCTGTGGGAAATATGACATCATTGCCAAACTGAACTGACATGTCTGCTTTGCTGACTTGTCTGTGAGATCTCAAAATGATCATTTCCGTTTTAGTTGCATTGATTTTTAAGCGATTTTGAGTAAACCATGTCAAGGCTGCTGATAGACTGCTTTCGACCCGTGTTTTTAAGACATGCAAATTTGATGGAATTTCAGCGTCAAGGAATTGGGTGTCGTCAGCATACATCACAACTTTCCCGTATGGAATGTGCTGAGGCAGGTCATTTGCATAGAGCAAAAACAACACTGGACCCATTATGGACCCTTGGATTCCCTTGGACCCTTGGATAATAAGCGGCAAAAAATCCCAAATTCAGTCTGTCGTCACTCGTATGGAGGACACCTTGGCCTCTCTGGACCGTTGGTTCCGGGCCAACGGTTTAAACATCAACGCCGCTGAGACCCAGCTGCATATGCTGTTGGGCAGTCCGCAATACTTTCGTACATTGACTGAATTTAAAGTAAAATACCGCGATCACGAGCTATCCGCAGTTTTATCAGCCAAAAACCTCGGCATCATATTTGACAGTCACCTGACCTGGGATCATCATATCACTACGCTCACGAAACGCTGCTTTGGAGTTTTGGGTGGTCCCTCGCATCTCCGGGGGCACCTACCGCCCACGGTGATCTCCGTGCTGGTCAGCGCACTGGTCGCATCCCAAATTCGATACTGCATCGCAATATATGGTTCTGGCACCAGACACAATCTCTCTTGGATACAAAAACTATTACACTTCGCAGCCAAAGTCATTTTCGGCCGAAAAAGTACGATCACGCTAATACGATTTGATGTGCCAGTTGCACTGGCTCGGCGCGGAGAACCTCGTCACCTACCACTCCCTATGCCTGTTGCACAAAGTGCGGTGTTACGCCGAGCCGGAGGTACTGGGCACTGGCACGCAGTTTGGCCACTGTAGCGGAGGCGCGCGGCGGGGACGCTGGCTGCTGTCAGTAGGGGAGGATGGAGTCATTTTGCCGGCAGTATAATTTGGTCGCCCTACCTTTACGATATCTGACATATCACCATTTGTTTTATTGACGACGAGCAGTAATAGCCACATGTGCACGTGGAATGTCCCGAATAAATTGTCTATTATTATATTCAGGGGGCGTCGAAGTCTAGTAGGAAAATCTGGCAATCCCCGACGTGACGTAACGTCGGGGATGACCGACGGCACCTTGCACTGAAAGATACGGCAGGACGGCTATTTTTGAAAAATGATTAAAAATACTTGTGTGCTGTTATAACACATAAAACGCTTGTCAGCATGTTCCTCATAATGTGATAAAGCCATATCCGTGGTCGAAAATAGCCGAGCCCCTCCCAATTTCCAAACATCGACCTTATAAGCAAAGGATGTAGGCGTAATCCTTAAGGGCGACTTTCCCTTACATATCCGTACATATGAGTCCTTATGGAAATCGGTAGTGTGGCGATAAGCGACGCGCGCGACATCTGTGCTGCGACTGTGGCGACACCTGGTGGCTGCTTTTCTGCTGTATGTAGGTATTGGGGTTTTGCCAGATATGGTTCCTACTGCTACACCACTATGTTGATCCAATACTAAAAAGTTATTTTGCCAGTAAAAAAGCAAGCAAATTAAAGGTATATTTATAAAATTGCTTATAAATGATTACGGGATAATAATAAAGAAGTTTTGATTGACCATTTATTTAAATATACAACCGTGAAACTATATTCTGGTAGGTTTAGTAGAAATTAGTCCGTGCAACCTTGTATTTAGGGCCTTGATTATATTTGAAATATTAGTTGGAGATGTGTCTGATTTTTGTGATTTTTAGAGGTCGGAAGGCGACGCTTCTCTCAGTGCTTCTCGGAGGACCTTGCAGTAGCTTTTACTGTGTACACATCTACAATCTGTATAACTGAGCCCCGTCTCACTTCATTACATTCTTAGTCATCTTAGAAGAAATTGTGCCAGTTGTCACGCATCGACTGCAATTGGCTTACGAGTGAATGATGTGCATGCAATTGTAGTGCACATGTATGTGTATTATACAAGGTATATGCAAGTTGTCAGTGCATACATTAGTGCATATTCTAAAGCTTTCCATAAATAATCACTGTAATATATAAACAATGCTGTTTTCCGTATCCCGTGTACCCTAACCCGATTATATCATGTTATCATGCTACCATGTAACCTGATGGTATCAGTTATGCATCTTGCCTTTGACATGGAACGTCTTTGAATTTCCCATACCTGCTACATTGCATGTAGTTTCTATGGCCTTGCATTGCATGATTAAATCGAGACATCCAGGCATTTAAGACGTCACTATTATATAGTTGTGAGCTTTTTGGCAGGTATGGGAAACACCTTCCAGCCCTAAGGCCGGGAATTCAATAAATGTCACCTCGCTTTTTTTTAGCAAAATCACCTCGCGGGCCTAACGGCCCTCGGAGTTTTCGCTAAAAAACCTCGGTGACATTTATTGAATCACCCCGGCCCCGGGCAGGCATATATTAGGAAAGGTCGAATGCCCCCATTTTCCTGTCCTGTTTTTTGGAAATTCCAATTTCGATATTTAACTTCACGACTTCCTCACCGCATGTTCGAACAGCTCACGAAAATCGCTCAGTTTCCTTATTACCAACTGACAGCTATAGTATTAAACAATCGACATATTGGCAAACGATAATCGGTCTCGATAATCGGTTCAAAATCATGGAGCCCCAAATACGTCCCCCCATTTGCAACCAGTTCCACCCAATTTCCCTCAATCGTCACCAATTCCAGATACGCACCGTGAGGGGTTGCAGGGCTAAGAGGAGTGAATCACTAATCCCTATGCAGTCAGCGGCGTACCCACCGCCTGAAACCGCGGCCTCTGTGCTCTAGATCTGGGTAAGTCCGTGCACGCTCTAGGTCGCTCGAATATAAAGGAGAGGCCATTCGTTGTGAGAATCATTCTAGGACCAGCTCACTCAGTCAGAAGACCTCAGAGCCAACAGGTGAGAGCCGCTTCGCATTGCTGTGAGAGGAACTTCATAAATGCCATGTTTAATGCAGTGTTTTCTTTCCTATGTGCTTATACGTAAGGGTTATATCTCTTTATGTCCAAAAACGTATAACACTTTGAAAGGGCATCCTGGCAATTGTATTTAAACAGTTGTTTGGTAAAACAGTACCCACTTTTTGAAATGTGTCTTGCGTCAGTGGATAACAATGAAGCGAATGTGCATTAACCCGCGCCCTGCTGGGGGGGGGGGGTGTTTGAACACCCCCTTGTGGTTTTTTGCAAATATCTCAAATACGGCGGCTCGGAGCGCCGCCGTTTTTGGTACACCTTATCATACATCAATTCTACACATGTTGTAAAAATTTCAGACCAAGGTCATTCAAGGTCAGGTCACCAGGTCACTTGAAGTGACCTCACCTCATAAAAAGTTTCAATGTCTGTCATAGCTACACCGAGTGACCGATCGCTTTGAAACTTTCAGCGATTGCTAAGAGCAAGAGCATGTACAAAATGTATATCTCAGAATTTTGATATCGATGACCTAAGGTCAGGTCAATTTTGCGACCTCCCCATTATAAGTCAATGGGAGAAAATTGAAATGCGCCTCTTTTGGACGAAAGACATTATAAACACTCCCAAACACCGATTTACAAGTGGTTTAGACACACTGAACATGGAAATGGTGTCCGTGACCCTTGTTTATGCCCTGAGGTCATCTTAGGTCACGAATGGTATCTAACAGTTTTTCGCAAATAACTTTTGATAGAGGCATGCTAGAGCGATGAAAATGCCTTAGATGTGTTCAGCTCGACGATACGGATCGACTGATATGCAACATGACCCTTTCCGGTCAGGTCATGACCTTGACCTGAGGTCAAATTTTCAAGTTGACCTTTCAAGGTCAAGTTATAGTTCATTCGATGCGTCTTGACGAGAGGAACACGATGCCGGTAAAAGTAAGCTCGTACAAGGCTCGGGTCAAAAGTTATTGCAGAAAAACTGTTTCCGAAAAAATCGGTTATTTTTGCAGTTTTTGCCCCCTGCAGGCAAAACCGTTGAAGTTAGGTCAAATCTGAGTGAACTACTCAGAAAGGGCGTTAATAGGGCTATCGAATGCGCTTTTCCGCGGCGCTGTAGCTCTATTGGTTCCCGAGTTATGCGTGGGCTTCTTGGAAATTTTCGACATTCGACCTGGAAATCGGCGAAATTTTGCCTTCAATGACCTTTGGTGACCTGACCTTTGACCTGACCAAAAAATTGACCAAATGATTTCGTCATTATTTTTGACGCTCTTTTGAACGCCGCCTTCCGCGTATCGCTACGTGGCCCAGGAGCCGAGTTACAAGGGGGGGGGGGTGTTCAAACACCCCCCCCCCCCCAGCAGGGCGTGGAAATCCAGGACCCCCAGCCGGGCGCGGGTTAAACAGTAGCTTGAACTGTTTCAGCTAAGCATGCTCTTTGCAGGACATTCAAATATAACATGCACCGTAGCGAATGCATCCGTAGCAAAAGGAAAATGGTTAGAAACGAGGGATTTACAGTGATGATAATATCCAAAAGAGCCTAATTTCGTAGTGTAAGTGCTGAAGCCCTATACAGGTGTAAGCGCATGCTATTACAGCAGCACAAATGGACTGCATAAAACGTTCTTTTTCACTTTCAGCTATGAAGGCTACCCTGGTTCTGGTGTGTCTTGTGGCTGCTGCTTCGGCAAGGCCCCAGTTCGGATTTTCAGGATTCGGCAGCCCCTTTGGAGGAGCTAACGGCAACTCCGGAGCCAACAGCGTCCAGGGGCAGAACCAGGGGCCGTTCGGCAACAGCCAGGTGCAGCAAAGCAGCGCCTTTGCCAATGTAAGTTGCGAAAAGGCGTCTCTATCCAATCCATACAGATACTGAGGATTTTCAACAATCATTTTGACAATGGTCATATAAATATGACATGCAGATTCTAGTAATGCCTACCCCAATGATATGCCTATTTTGCAATGGATGGGCGAAATGCGCCTGCGGGGTGCAATAAAAAAACTGTTCAGATTGTTCCTCCACAATGATTTCAATGTTGTAATTCTGTCTGAAACCATCCGCCTCATTTCAGGGCAACGCATTCAACGGTGGCGCTTCTTTTAACAGCGCCAACAGCAACGTCGGCCAGAGCTTTGGACTGTTCGGCCCTCAGCAGTTCAGCAGCAACAATGCCTTCAGCAATCAGTTCGGAGGCTAAGTCCGCACTGGTCCATCAGTGAATCAGAATTCATAATTCAGCAACATCATAAAACGTCTTTTACTGAGTGAATTTCTCGTTGTTGTTCATAATGAAAAGCCTGATACAATATGTGCTGCTCCGACTCTTCTACAATAACGTACTGGAGTGTTTGCTTAACCCGCGCCCGGCTGGGGGTCCTGGATTTCCACGCCCTGCTGGGGGGGGTGGGGGGGTGTGTTTGAACACCCCCCCTTCTAACTCGACTCCTGGGCCACGTAGCGATACGCGGAAGGTGTCGTTCGAAAGAGCGTCAAAAATAATGAGGAAATCACTTCGGTCAATTTTTTTGGTCAGGTCAAAGGTCAGGTCACCAGAGGTCATTGAATGCAAAATTTCGCCGAATTCCAGGTCGAATGTCGACAATTTCCAAGAAGCCAACGCATAACTCGGGAACCAATAGAGCTACAGCGCCGCAGAAAAGCGCATTCGATAGCCCTATTAACGCCCTTTCTGAGTAATTCTCTCAGATTTGACCTAACGTCAACGGTTTTGCCTGCAGGGGGCAAAAACTGCAAAAATAACCGATTTTTTTGGAAACAGTTTTTCTGCAATAACTTTTGATCCAAGCCTTGTACGAGCTTACTTTTACCGGCATCGTGTTCCTCTCGTCAAGACGCATCGATTGAACTATAACTTGACCTTGAAAGGCCAACTTGAAAATTTGACCTCAGGTCAAGGTCATGACCTGACCGGAAAGGGTCATGTTGCATATCAGTCGATCCGTATCGTCGAGCTGAACACATCTAAGACGTTTTCATCGCTCTAGCATGCCTCTATCAAAAGTTATTTGCGAAAAACTGTTAGATATCATTCGTGACCTAAGATGACCTCAGGGCATAAACAGGGGTCACGGACACCATTTTCATGTTCAGTGTGTCTAAACCACTTGTAATTCAGTGTTTGAGAGTGTTTATAATGTCTTTCGTCCAAAAGAGGCGCATTTCAATTTTCTCCCATTGACTTATTAATGGGGAGGTCGCAAAATTGACGTGACCTTAGGTCATCGATATCAAAATTCTGAGATATGCATTTTGTACATGCTATTGCTCTAAGCAATCGCTGAAAGTTTCAAAGCGATCGGTCACTCGGTGTAGCTATGACAGACATTGAAACTTTTTATGAGGTGAGGTCACTTCAAGTGACCTGGTGACCTGACCTTGAATGACCTTGGTCTGAAATTTTTACAACATGTGTAGAATTGATGTATGATAAGGTGTACCAAAAACGGCGGCGCTCCGCCACGCCGTTTTTGAGATATTCGCGAAAAACCACAAGGGGGGTGTTCAAACACCCCCCCCCCAGGGCGCGGGTTAAAGAAACATGTTGTTTTTCTTTGCTGGATTTCAGCTGTCTTGCGTTCCTGGCGGTCAACATTGTCCGTGTGTTTCATCACAGTCATACCTATCATCCTTCAAAGCGTCCGCTCTGTTACTTGACTGAGAATCATGTTTGTTTATTGTCTTGGGCGTGTGAAGTGAATATAACTAAGTTTGGAAAGGTCAAAACTCACTGTTTTGCAATGGAGAGACATTTCATGATCAATTAATATGCTTTAGTGAATGCGGCTGAGAAGATCATTTTGAAATAGGTCTAAGTGCATGGTCTTCTAATCTGCATCCTTTGATTAACAATTTACGAAACGTTTATCGCTGTTAAGACGCGAAGACATCAAAGCACATTCACTCAAATCAAAGCCATTTCGCAATGAACAGAATGTCTGCGGATTTTTAAAAGAACAGGCATTGATGCGTTGAACCCTCCCCGGCTGCACGGTCCTAAAATGTCGCTATTTCGCAACGCACTCAGTGCCTTTCACAGGGAGATGATTTTTTTTTCGGGGCCTACTAGCCTTCCATGGCCTCACAACCTATACACTTCGGATTTTTTAGGGTCATCTGAGGTCAGGTCGATCACGTGTCACGATCACAATCACGATTCATGTTATCTATGTATAAATCAATAGGGAACTATGGAAACTTTTTTAGTGGGTAAAATGATTTTGAAACGACATAATGCATATACAATCGTGAGTACATACACATCTTGCAAGTTTTTCTGTTTAGGGTTTGCATTTTATGACGTCACTAAGGACATTTGAGTTTTTCGTCAATAACTTCCCATCAAATTGAGCTAGCAAGTCGGAAAAACACCAATGGAATCAGGAAGAGCTGCCGAATCAAATGTTATGCGACCTGGCTTCCATCGATCAGCTTCGTGGCCTCATTGGCTTTGACCTGTCCTGACCTGAGTGATCCGCAATTTTTGAAGATTTTTTTATGAAATCTACCCCAAAGTGGGAATCAATTCTTATGACTTCAACAAAGCCCGCAAGCCGGCGTGCGCCCAATCATAGCAGACAACCTCACGGATGCTTCGGACATTGTAACAGGCTGCAGCATCTATCGTCGTTTGACGGGCTGATTAGGCGTTCGACGATTCATCAGAAGCGGCATCTGCCAGCTCAGATTGCGGAAAAACCCCAAACCTGTGTGTAGTTCAGCGCTTCCAGTCCAGTCAAATTTCCAGTTCCTAGTCTTCACCAATGCGACATGCCGGCTGCAAGCATTGAGTTTGCAGAGTTCTGCACGATTAGTCAATAATCCATGGGCCAGTTGACAATGCGACTCACCAGAGAAAAACCGCAGCATCCATGTGTAATCCTTGGTAAACAATCGCAAAACCTGCCAATCAGATATAAAGAGAGGCTCTGTGTGGCTACATCAGTTACGAACAAGGCACCTCAGTGAAAAGACCACTTCGACCTCAGTTTGCAGGTGAGATTTAGTGAAACGCTGCTCGCATGAATTATGAAGATCATTTTATCCGTTTTTGAAATATGTTGTTGCCACTTGTTGCTGTAAGGATTAGGTATTTTATAATTTTCTGAAGCAATGATAACTTCCGTTTCAGATGGACCAAATGTTTCAATTTTAAGTTCTAAGATATTATTAACCCGCGCCCTGATGGGGGGGGGGCCATTTTGGCCCCCCCTGTGGTTCGCCAAATTTTGGGCACCTTACCGGGCATCAATTTGACACCTTCACACAAAATTTCAAGTCACAGGTCACCTCAGGTCAGGAGTTATTGAGGTCAAACTGAGGTCATGTTCGAGTAAAAATGAGCAAAAAACATGACATCTTGAAACGCTCACCAATTCTACAGTTAACAAGCAATTTTAAAGTTCTTTATGTGGTTGTGTAGAGAAAAGACGGCGCTACAAAACTGCTATCTCGGATTTTCGAAATTTTGGGATTTTGTTCCCCAACAATCAAAAAAATTGATTTTTTTTAGAAAAACTCAAAAAATTTCCAAAAATTTTTCGAATTTCGAAAAAACCGGAATATATATGATAGTCCCTGCGCTCTTCGATATACATACCAAATTTTAGATCGATACCTCTTTTTTGGCCAAGTTATAGCGAAAAAACTGTTAAAAATTGATGACGTCAAATTTTTGAACTCAATTTTTAGCAATTCTAGAGCTCGTAGCGCAAAACGGAGACCACCATTGAACTCCCCGTGACGAGTTGCATCGAATCGATACCCATTTTATGCAAAAATATCAACTTTGAAATTTGACCTAATTTGACCTGACCTTGACCTGACCTTGACCTGACCTTGACCAAAACGTGACCTAAGCTGGCCCTAAAGTCTGTCTGACCCACATAATCGCATTTGTCATGTAAAATGGACCATAAAACATGTATCACACGACACTTTCATATTGTGACCCCCCCAGTGACCTGACCTCTGTGACCTGACCTGGTATCAGTGACCTCAAATAGCAAAATATGTGTTTGAAGAACATTTCCCCATCGATGATTTTCAATGAAATGCATTTTACACGATTTTACAACGCATTTCTTGAAATGCCTGTAAACGGTGAAAATTCGACCTTTGACCTGACCTGTGACGTCATCGGTTTGACCGAGGTCAATGAAATTGGGTCACAAGGTAGTTCCCCGTTGGGGCTATCCAACACCGTTTACCGCTTGTCGCTATGTTGCGTGGTTCTCGAGATCTGAGGGGGGGGCCAAAATGCCCCCCCCCCCCATCAGACCACGTTGCTCGGCAGACCCCATCTGGGCGCGGGTTAATACGGAATGTTTCATCATAACGTCCACCGAAAAGACAGGAACTACATACATACAGTTGGGGCATTCCACGATAGATCGTACCACTTTTTTCCAATTTGACACCCTCATCTCTCGGAATTTGACGAGAATTGGTCTCAGGGGTAATCAGGGGCTCTGAATCCACCTGTAACAATTTCAGGCTTATCAGATAAGTATTTTTTGAGTTATGGTGTATAACATTTTTTGGATCTTGCTTTGAAGCGCTAAGTTTGGCGGGCTGTAACTCTGAGACGGATTATTCAAATGTCAAATGTTATATAACATTGAACTTGCAATGAAACAGAGATTAATATGTATTTTTGAAATTTCGAAAAATACGTTATTTTTGATATATGACATATCGAGTTTTCTTTCATTTGTATTTTTTGGACTTTGGGACCAATTTTTTTTTGAATTTTTATTTCTTTAAAAAAAAATATTTGGCTCATTGTTAAGAAGTATGCAAAAATTAGGAAGGTGTTCTTTCTATAAATGTATTTATTTTACGTCACGATAACGGTTTCGAATAGTGATTTCGGGATGGGAACTTACAAATGGCGTGGTAAAGCTGCCTAGTGACATCACGGGTTACTGAAATTTCAATTCAAGTCTGAGTCATCTGAAAAAAGTGAAAAGAGGGTTCATTCAATCCTCTTTCCTATAATCGCGAGGGTGAAAAAGGCTGTTTGGTTCTGACATTGTTTTGGACGCCAATGACCATAGCTGTCCGAGATGAAAGTTACAGGACGCATACATGGTGTCCTCCAGAGGTCTCACACCTTGTATATCTGGGAATTTTTCAAGGTTACATGAGGTCAGGTCGGTCACGTGACATCACTGTTATAAATCAATGGGGAAATATAAAAACTGTTATTTTGGCGCCGAGAATGATCTAAAACTATCCCACGTACATGGTATCGTGATTTCATGCACTCCTTGCAAAGTCCAATGCTTTACTTTTGCATTGTTAACATTGCGTGACGTCATTAATGACGTCACTAGGGTCGTACGAGTTTTTCGTCAATAACTCCCGATCAAATCGAGCTAGAGAGTCGGGAAAGCCACCAATGGACTCGGGAAGACCTTCCGAATCGAATGATATGCCATATGATACCCTTTGCCCAGCTTCGTGACCTGAGGGGCTCTGACTTGACCTTGACCCGAGGTCAACTACTTAAGTTGACCTCACCCTAGCAAAAAGTATACCATTCGATGCACCTGAGCTAGGCGAACACAATGATGCCAAAATCGCGGCTCTGCGGCCATTTTTTGCGAAGTTATTTACTAAAAACCGAACCCGTAACTTCAGTCACGTGACCTGACCTCAGACGCTACCGGTTAACCTGAGACCTTAAAATCGGGTACCAATCGCTGCGACTTGTAACGGCACACACGCTCGTTTTTTCCGCGAGGCTCTAGCTCTATTAGAAGCGAAACGGCGTGCTGGGGTCGTATCAACCCCTCCGAAACCCATTTTGTTTGCGGGAAAATGAGGAACTTATAGAAAGAACACCTTTCTAATTTTTTGCATGTCGATTTGCAATGACATGAAGATTATTTTGAAAAAATAAAAATGTGAAAAATTTTGGTCCCAAAAGTCATTGGAGGCAAATGAAAAAAGATTAAGGTTTTTGCTCAACAATGAAATTTTTTCTTTGGAATTTTTAAATAGTAATACTAATTTTTGATTCATCGTAGGTTTAGTGTTGTTTACTTTTTGTTGGTTGCTTAACCCGTTCTTGAGTTATAGGCCATCAAACTCACCGTTACATACCGAAGTTAAAAAATGTAATGCAATATAACTCAAAAAGTTTTGATCTGAGAAGTCTGATATTTTGCCAGGCGTCTTTGGGGCCTATGATTACCCCAAGGACCGATTTTCATTAAAATCTGAGAGATGAGGGTGACGGGCCTGGTACGATCTATCGTGGAATGCCCCAGTTGTGAAAGTTGTGATAGTTTAGAATTTTAACAGATCAAAGGCATCGAATGGTTTCCAAAACGGTTTCCTTTGCTTGGAGGCTTATCAAAATGATAAAATTGAACAGAGGTCAACACTTTAACCACAGTTTTCAATGTGCAAAGTACCAGTAATCCGCGTTGCCCATGTCATACATGCTAATCGATCGTTGTATTTCAGCTATGAAGACTACCCTGGTTTTGGTCTGTCTGGTTGCCGTCGCCTCGGCAAGGCCTCAGTTCTTAGGATTTGGTAGACCCAGCGCCTTTGGCAGCGCCGGGGCCAACGGCATCCAGGCACAGAGCCAGGGCCTCTTTGGCCCCACCACCCAAATTCAGCAGCTGGGTACTGCCGCCCAGGTAAATAGTGGGACGTGTCCTTTCTCAAGCATTCCTCTGGTACATTCCTTGGGATGGAAATGTGTGTATGTACTATTATTCCGAAAATTGTCAATTTTCAATTGTTTATTCGGAAGTTGTGATTTTTTCCAGTGAGGAATTCATGCTAAAATTAAAATTTTATTTAGACTGCCCTTTTTGTTACCAATCTACGTCATGGTTTAGCCACTTTTTTGTTTAGTTAAATTAGTTCAGCTCCTTTATTAAATCACCCAGATCTACTTCTCGGTTGTCACGTGTCTGCCCATTTGCTTTCTTTTCTTTCAAGCTCTATTTCGATTACTTTCTTTGCTAGCTCATTTCGTCCCTGCAGTATCGTTCTTATATATTGGAGGTGACCTGACCTGAGGTGTCTGTATTATTTCTTATTCTTACGCCAATTCTTCTTTCAGGGAGGCGCATTCAACGGCGGATCAAACCTCAGTCAAGGCACTGCCACTCTTTCCCAGGGCCTCGGACCCTTCGGAGGAGCTCAACAATTCGGCAATACCGGCGCCTTTAGCAGCCAGTTCACAGGCTAGCGCTGTGCTCTGATAAATACAGAAACATGCTCAGAATCATGATCACATGGCTGAAGGGTTTTCCCTCATGGACGGAGTAATGTCTGTCATAACATGCAAGCAACGTGACTGGATTATTTTAACGCCGAATATGGCTGTCGTCAGCAGCAAGACACAACTAACTTTCAATGCCTGCAGAGTGGCGTGTTCCAAACACTTACCGTCGTTTCACAGCCTAGGTATATTTAACTTCCACTGATAGCAAATTATTCAGCGCTAATTATGAACTACTTTCAATTGAAACGCTGGCCAATGGTTCTGTGCAGAGTTGTGAACATACGAGTACATGTGGCAAAACTAGTGTCATTCGGTAAAACTATGCATACCATGACTGAACAGGAAAACACACAGTAAAACTTTTGTGTGTTACACTACATCTCACACTACAACAAAAAATGTCGAATAAGAGAACGGAAAGAAAATCGATGGTAATTGTATGATGTATAATAACAAGAAGTTGTGCAGAGCGAGTCATAGTGTCGGCATAGCATTTTTGCACAGATCATGTCTGGAAACATCTGAACCCATTGTTCAGTTGGTATGTTACATGTGCGGAACAAAGCGTAGTAAAGTAAGAAGAAGAGTTGCTCGAAAATGTCTAAAAGGTTGTTATTTTAGCTGAATAAAAACTGAAAACCATTGCAAGTTTTTTTTTTAATTTTGCATCCTCGATGGCGCAGGCCTATAGAGCTGGGGGCCAGGATATGTGAAGCATACATTTTAACCCTCGCCGGCACAGGCCATTTTGAGTCCTTCGACGGCACAAGTGGGGGTGGGGGGTGGTACGACCCCCCCCCCCCCTCGCGTTTGGCCCCTGATAGAGCTAGAGCTTGGCGAAAAAACGAGCGTGTTGCCCGTCACGAGAGGAAGCCGATGATACTCAATTATAAGTTCCTAGGTCGTCGGTTGACCTTCCAAGTCAGGTCAATGACCCAAAAATCAGGAATATCGGGACCTGTTAGAAAGTCGTGAAGTGTGGATGTTTTGGGGTTTTCCGGGGTGCTGATCACGAATATCGTGTTAGTTTTGATCACAGATGATGTCGTTAAGCGTTTAGACCGGGTCGGGTCAGGTCAGGTCAGGTCAACCGGTAGGGGTCATGACGGGTATTCGTAGTACCTTTCATCCGCCTCTGACAGCTTCGTAACATGTTACGAAGGCACCAAAACTAATTCGTAAATGTTCAAATGGCTGCTAAATTCGAATTCAGCTCCAAAAACTAGCCTAGAAACATGTAAAACTCGAAAAAGTGAACCGAGGTCACAAAAGGTCAATGACCTGATCTGACCTTCAGGTGACCTTGACACCCACCCTTATGCATGGGAGCAACATCAAATCACATGTTTGAACGTTTGAAACCACGAAAAGCTTCCAAACGCGCGGCTAATGCGAGCCGATATATGCCGAATCGCGATTCCGGCCAAACATGGTCTCGGAAAAAGGTCACAGGTCAAAGGTCATTTGGGTCAGGGTCATGACATTTTCAGGATAAGTGTAAAATTGATCAATGCGAAGGTATTGAAAATTTCGTTGTGATCGGCCGCTTTTTACGCGAGTTATTTGCGAAAAACCTTAGGGGGTTGCATCAACCGCCCTATGCCGGCGAGGGTTAAAACATAGCCATAAGATAATAAAATATGTATCCATGGATCGTCAAATCGCTTATCACAAAATGTTGGGAGCATCATCATTCATCATTTATCACTTCACTGCCCAATGAGACAAATATTGTGTGTCCGTTTCTTTTCTAGGCATCAGGATGTGATGGTAGCAACTCCATGCCACTCAGTGGTTAGACCGGGAGATAAGTCGCCTGTCACAAAGTCTATTACTGGTTTGGCGTCTGGAGACCGGGTATCAAAGGTCAACAGGTATCAGGTAAAGATGCAGTATTATATAAGAATTTATGTTTGTTACGAGGACCAAAGTAGCCATACAATTTTGAGAATGGAATGTAAATGCATAATTCCCATTTCTAATTCCATAAATACATATTACTGCTACCGATCACTTGCAAAATATTGCACAACATTCAAAGATGTACATACGAATAATGACGGGAATTTGATGCATTTTCCTTGACCCTTGCCCGTTTTGGCGTTTTCACAGCGGCTCATGTATAGGAATGAAGCGATAAGACCCCTGTCCGTTCGGCTACTGATCTTGGGAAAAAAAAAACAGGCGCATTGCTCGTAACGAGATCAAGTACCGAGTAACACCCGATTGTTGGGGCTGGGATCCATCTGAGCCCTCACAGTGTGATGACATGATTTAATCGCTTCTATGGTGTCAATGAAACTTGAACCTTCGGAATCCGATTTCGTGCAATGTCCGGCAATTCGAAATTTGGCTAGACAATGACAGTAGGTTTTGGATAACATTGGACAATCAATCGCTACACATCAGCATTTTTACAAAGTTATCAATGGAAAGCTCAACTTTCCGGATATGATAAACACTTTTGAGATGGTAATGGTACGTTAAAAGGAAATTAAATCACAGTGTTGAGTGTTAACTATTGCGTGGGTTTCGGAAATCTTTGGACAAATGGCTGGCTTGGACGTTTTTGGACGGACAGTCGACGTAATTCTTGGACTCTGGACGGACTTTGGACATACATTTTCTGAAACTGACACCACTAATCGCTTCATTTTTATGTTGTCGAGGGGCGGGGGGGGGGTGGCTGGTTCGACATCACCGTCATTGTCATCATCATCATCATCATCATCATCATCATCATCATCATCATCATCATCATCATCATCATCATCATCATCATCATCATCATCATCATCATCATCATCATCATCATCATCATCAGATTCGACGCAATAATTAGCCAACAAACTACGCGACACGACAAAACCACTGCAAAAGAGCACAGATGCCGCTCAGCTGAACAATGCGCCTCTACCAAGCCGCAGCATTGATAAAACCACAAGATAAGGGAATTCCCAAGCCAGTCGGGCAGGTCTGGCTTCCCCGCTCCCTCGCTCACCAATTATAGCTGTCTATCATTCTCTGTACGTGCAGAGCACGTGTAGGTGACTCATTATCCAATTGTTTGTCTTGTCGTCATTGCGGATCTAGGGAGAACCGGCTTGGACGAGAGATCGGCACACCCGACCGCTCCCCTATATAAACGCAGAGAAATGTGCGTGAGGAACAGTGCAACGCAGAATCGGGAGACGGTGAGATAGCAAGAGGAACTGACGGTGAGATAGCGAGAGGAACTGACGAGAAAATAACAAGCGAAAGCACTCCTAACACACAGGTAAGTTGGCTCCGGAGCGAGGAAGGGTTCTCAATGTTACTCATGCTACTCTGCCTTCGTTATTATAAATTTTGTTTTATATACAGAATACATACAGTGAAACGTTAGCTTGTTTTCTCATTTTCATATTTTCCTCCAAAAATTATCTCTGTAAAAGACCGGACAAAGAACGAACCAAAACTGAACAAGTGGCAAAAGCAATGGTTAGGTTAAGGCTGGGCATCTCCTCATTTCAAGTTACACTCCTGAAAGGAAACAGCTGGGGTATATTTCATCGTCCCCATATATCTGCGCTCTGAACATTTTTGTTTTGTATGTTTGATCTTTTGAATTTATTTCAGCCTTCCACTATTCTCAATTCTCATAGTATGGTGATTAAAAAGAGGTATTTGTCATGACGCATTGTTCCGCTACCGCCCAGTGTTCACCGTTACTTCCGTTTCAGTGATGAGGACGGCCGTGGTTCTTCTCTGCCTGGTGGCGGTAGTGAGCGCCAAACCGTTCGGATTCGGATTTGGCCGCGGTGGCAGCGCGACCGGCAATGCTGGAGCTTCCAGTACCCAGGGACAGAACCAGGGTTTTTTCGGAAACAGCCAGATCCAGAACAGCAACGCCTTCGCGAGCGTAAGTTCGGAATCTGTGATTTACAGTAACTGAAAACAAACGACGTGGTGACCAGTAATCATTAGCGGATTCCGACAGGTGGCTTTGAACATTGTTATGGCCACCGCATACTCCCTAAAAAATCTTCAATTTCCAAGAACTCTGATTTCGGTTGCTTGTGCGCTGTTGTGTAATTAAAACATAAAGTTTTAGGTAAAGCTACTCAATTTTCCTTCCATGCAAGGGCAACGAAAAAACGATCGACAAGTTCAAACGTCTTCACAGAGCTATGTTCAACTCATTTCATAATTCACATCGCTTCATAGACGCATTGTATTCCTCAGCAATAACACTGCTCTGTTGAGTCCATAATCATTCACAAATCACCTCCTGCCCTCAGGGTTCTGCGTCCCGCGGTGGATCGTCGTACAACTCAGCTAGTAGTAACGTCGGTCAGACCAGCGGATTCTTCGGAAACAAGCAGTTCGCCAACAACCAGGCTACCAGCAACCAGTTTGGTGGCGGACGTATATTTTACGGATAATTAACGCAAAGTGATTAAAAATGACGATTTTTACAAGCCAGTGGTCACATGTTGTGTAATTTGTGCAGTTATCATTGTTAGTGCCGGCTTTTGGAGATCTTCGCAATGTAATCAATAAAACATGCATCTTTGTAAAAAAAATTAGATTGCTTAATATCTGGAGTTTTTTCTTTGTATGGTAGACCGGAAGACAGAACGACTGTCACCTATAATGCCCACCAAAACGACGTTCTGCACCATCTCTACAAGCTAAACATGTCTTAATTAGACATTAGGTAACAAGTGAGGGCCTTGAGGCCATCAGTAAACCGGTTTGACGCCGGATGTCTTTTGGCGTTGCTAGGCGATCAAATCTTACTATCATTGGATCAGGATGCCACTTTATATAGCAGTGTTATGCACTCTCAAGAAGGTGCTTTATTTAGTTTTGTATTCGGTGCATTGTGGCCTAGTGGTGAATAACTATGCATGAAAATGTGGCTTTACGGTTAATAAAAAACAGCGTTTCCATCGCGCAAACGCTTAAAAATTGTTGCTCAAACGGGCTCTTTCTGGCTTATGTATGAAAATTGTAAGCAGTGACAGTCTTGCGGGCGATGGTGGCAATTGGCAGCGGATTTTATCAAATTGAGAACTTGTACCATCTAAAGTACCCTTCCGCCACGCGTCCGGGCCGTCAACTTTTCATGCTCCAACTAAACTGCCTCTGAACACAGACATTTATCGTCATTAAAAGAATCCATGGGAAATTTCCTGGAAAAAATAAGCTCTAAATGAACAAAAAAGAGAAAAGAAAAGAAAACAATAAGAGGAGACCAAAGCATCTATTGCTATAAATTAAGCAAGCTAACAAAGCAGTAAATACCACCCTGCGGAACACTGACTAACTAGTGATCAAAACGTTGCGTCATGCTCACGTCTCCGGTCTCACTCTTACTTTCGCTGATAGCGGTCCCTTTACCCAGAATCATGGCATGTATGTACATCGTACAATGCCACGGGATATTCATTTCACCGTGCATACCATCTCCAACAGCACAAGAAACCTGCACAACTCAGTCTTCAGTGAGCTCATCAAAATAAACGAGTGCCATTATTGCTTTGCTACCATTCTGCTGAAGGTAAGAGAAACATGTTTTAGAGGCTTGCAGGCCTCAAAGTTCACTTTAATTTGTTTGAACGCCTACTTCACACACAAAAAAAAAATGCGCCGTTTTATTACAACTTCCCCGTCACACTTCGCGCATCGCCAATTCGTCAAGGTACTTGCGAGCAGCTCAACCATGGCCTAACCAAACTGGGTGCTGGAAGCCTGATTGTTTGCGAACTGACTACCTCCTCCGGCTCCGGAAGCGTCGAAGCCGCTGCCTCCGGTAGGTCCGGACCCAGCGGTCTGCCCAAACCCGCTGCCGCCGCTAGGTGCGGAACCCGCGCTCTGTTCGAAACCGCTTCCACCAAATCCTGCGTCACCGCCAAATCCGCTTCCGCCGAATTCGGCGTCACCGCCAAATCCGCTTCCGCCGAACCCGCCATCAACGCCGCCAAACTGTCCAAATCCGCCACCGCCGAATTGGTCGCTAGAGGCCTGGTTGCTGGCGAACTGCTGATCTCCGAAGAGTCCAGAACTTTGTCCGACGTTGCTGATGCCGGTGTTGAATGAAGATGCGCCGTCGAAGGCAGAACCCTGGACAGAGAAAGGAACGGTGAAGTCGTCAGTATCTTGTGCGATGTTTCCTTGAGAGTCCATGTTAGCATGAGCTTACTATGTCTGTCCCTGCGGTGTTTATCCATCGCTCCAGGAGGACTTTGGTGCTGTTTCTCTAAAATGCAACGTACCGCATTATTATTTTCATGATTTCCATTAGATGCATTCCACCTAAGACTGATACATTCGTGTTATGATTCAATCCACGGCCCACCTCGACCCCCTTGAACAACCTACCCCCTCCAATATAAGGTGGTACAAACTGGAATAAACTGGAGCATGTACAAGGCTCGCACGCTCCACTTTTCCTCGTGCACTTTTGATGTCGTTATTGGAGCAGCCCTATACAGTATACAAGGAGGTACATACAGACCGGAACAGACTGGAATGCACAAGCTCGTAGGTACGTCCTTGAAAAATAGAATAAAGGAAGATAATGAAAAATAAAAAGGGGAATACAGACAAAATGATAACAGGAAATTGAAAAAAGAAACATAAAATAAAGAAAGCAAAGATAAAACAAGCAAAATAGAAAACAAAAAGATCGCATGAATAAGAAAGGAAAATCTTAATAAAACCAAAGAAAACAAGACCAACTACTCACCTCTGCCCCCGCGGAGCTGCTCTGGACGGCGCTGCTGCCGGATGGGAAGCTACTCTGGCCCTGTGTGGACTGAGCATTACCAGAGCCGCTGGCTCCCCCGGTCCCCGTGAACTGGGGGCGGGCACAGGCGGATACCGCCAGACACAGAAGAACCACCGCCCTCATGGCTGGAGGCTGGAGAGAAGGGAAGGCGGTTAGTGTGCTGTGTTACATGAAAAGACGGTTTTTTGCTTCTGTAGAAGTTAAAGGGACCCTCCCACCTTAACATTAGATTTGAGTTGAGATAGCCAAAATGGGGTCCCTGTCTCACAATTACCGGTTTCGGCACTCACAACATCGAGAAATGCCTTAAATCGGAAATATTGAATTTCAAAATTGCAGCATTTTGATTCAGAGGGGCTAATGCATAGGAATACCCCTCTGAATGTGTGACGTCAGCGCAGATATCTAACGATTTTTAAATGTTTGACTAAAACGTTTTGTAGCACGCGGTGGTATATGCTGCTTTGCGCGCAACAAGTGCCGCACTTTCAGCTGCCAAACTATTGCTTCCAAATAAAGTCGCTAGGAACAGCGGAGATCCCAAAAAGTAAACAAAAGTAAAAGTCTAATATCTTGAAAACCGGTGAATATTTTTCGGTGAAATTTGGTAGATATTCGTTTTCGCTCTTTCTGAGCCGAGCGACATCACTTTCATGCCAATTCATAAACTTTTTTGAAGGTTGGAGGCAGGGCTGCGGAGTCGGAGTCGGAGTCGGAGTCGGAGTCGGTCGGAGTCGACAGTTGTGACCGGAGTCGGAGTCGGAGTCGGAGTCGATTTTAGAAACCCGAGCCGGAGTCGGAGTCGGAGTCACCGAAAATCTGTCGACTCCGCAGCCCTGCTAGGTCTGCGGAGTCGGAGTCGGGAGTTGGAGTCGGTCGGAGTCGACAATTCTGCCCGGAGTCGGAGTCGGAGTCGGAGCTGGTTTTTGAAAGCCGGAGTCGGAGTCGGAGTCGGAGTCGCCGAAAATCCATCGACTCCGCAGCCCTGGTTGGAGGGTCCCTTTAATAAACGTCGGGAATCGCCAAGGTTCTCCTTTTTACGCTTGTCTATAAAGGCAAACGTAAGAGAGGACAGACCTTGCGCAACCGCCGTTGGTGCACGTGCCATGCCTAACTTTCAGTATATCCGAGAATATTTTATTTTGACTTCACACATATTTTCTCCGAAAGCTGCATTTGCAGAGATCAAAACATGTGCAGAGTGAGTTATCTAATGCCAAAAATATGCGTTTGTAGGTATAATGGATGCAAAAATGGATTAGATATTGTCTTATAAATAAATTATGGATCGACCAAAGGCTATCATTTTGGCATGTATGTGTGTGTGTTCTCTGCTCACTTCCTGCGGCAGTTTAAAAATATAAACTAATTGAAAGTAATCCAGCAAGTAGCATATTTATCAAAAGAGTGAAATATTTTAATCAATATGCATTTAGCGAAGCAAAATTATTTTTCGTTCTTACTTATTATTTATCCTAACAGAAAAAAACATGTTTTAGTCAAGGTATAATCTATGATGTGTTAGCTATTTGTTACATTTTTTAGTTATTGCAGTTATTTTGAGGGTGCGTTTCAACATCCCAAATTCTTTTTACCGTAACATTATTTGCAATTATTTTTATATTCACTATATTATTACACTGAGAAAACAAAAAACACCCTTAAGACACTCCCGGCCAAAGTGTCCGCCCTGAAACCCCTGTAGAACACCTTTCTCGAACACCTTTAATGGTGTCAGGCTGTTGTACACCCCATGGGTGTTTATCAAGTGTCGATTACACCTTATTGGTGTTGTTCGGGTGTTTTGGTCAATAGACACTTCGACAAGTACCCACGAATCCTGTCTTAAATCCCTCTAGAATTCCCGTGGGGTGTTCAGTGGGTGTCAACACCCCATACACCCCACAGGTATTAATGGGGTATTTCCGGCCAAACTGTCCGCTATGAAATTCCCGTTGGGTGTTTAATGGGTGTCAACACCCCATACACCCCACAGGTATTACTGGGGTATTTCCGGCCAAACTGTCCGCTATGAAATTCCCGTTGGGTGTTTAATGGGTGTCAACACCCCATACACCCCACAGGTGTTACTGGGGTATTTCCGGCCAAACTGTCCGCTCAGAAATCCCCGTTGGGTGTTCAGTGGGTGTCAACAGTATACCTTTATTGTTGACACCCACTGAACACCCAACGGGGATTGCAGAGCGGACAGTTTGGCCGAAAATGCCCTTTAGTAACACCTGTGGAGTGTAAGAGTGCTGACATCAATTCACCCAACGGGCATTGCAGAGCGGAACGGGCATTGCATAGCATTTCAATAAGGGCATTTCAGACAGTTTGGTCGGAAATACCCTTAACGTAACACCTGTGGACAAGGGTGTCCCGAACACGCATCAGGTTTGCGACGTTATTTGATCAATGGCTCATTGAAAACACTCCGTTTAAATTATACTTTAGAAGTTTCCTTATGGATCGCATATGTTAGCGTAGCCCGTCACACAGCTAAGCGTTTCGGCTAAATGATCACTGCATTTCCGGCGTTATCTTCTCAGAGGGTTGATGGATCAGAACGACGATTCGAGGTTTGAATGACATTTGGCGATGACACGCAAATCCGTTAGGAATATATCGAAGAAAAAAAAAATCACGAAAGGGGTGCTTGAAATTGTACTGGAACATATAATCCACCGGTAACGCACTTAGCTTGATGGTAACTTGTCGTTTATGGGAAGCGGTCCAAGCTGCCCAAAAAAAGAATGCTCCGCGTTTGATAACGTATATTTAAGAACAAACAATCTTGAGTAAGAACGGTGGTCATTATGAACACAAAGCATTCTCTAGGCTCTATCCAACCACCTCTCCACTTTCCTCCGACTGCACATCAGTACTTTATCTCTTCAGCTATTTAACCCTCGCCCGGCCAAGGGGTTGATGCAACACCCTAAGAAAAATGGCAGTGCTATACGTCACCAGGTTTGGCATACTTTATGGAACATCCTTTTGGCATATTCCCTGAAAATTAAAGTTCCAATTCAATAATTTCAGGTCAGGTCACCAGGTCGCAAAAAAAACGTTATATTGTCAAAATAGCCATGAAACTACACTATATATTTTCTATGAAGCCTGAGTTTTCCATTGATTTCATTCAAAGTTGCAGGGTATGCTAAGCTCACCGAGTACCATAACATGTATCCTCGTTTTTGAAATTGTCTTAACCTGAGATCATCCAAATTCTAGAGCCAGGTCATGACGAGTTATTAAGGAAATTTTATGAATTATTTGAATTGTAAAAATATTAGAGAAATCCGTTCCATTTAAACGTTTTTGTGTTGTTTTACCTCAGTTTATACTTTGCATGACGTGTTTGTTTGCTGCAAGAACGCTAGATAGGTCAATTGAGGTCAAATGGAGTCAAACTACGTTTTTGCTAATAACTTGATAGACGGTGTACCCAGAGCTTGAAAATGGTGCCATTGTGTTTCTTTTGAACAGCCGCCTCGAAAGATATGTTATACTGACGCATTTTAGTAAGCCTGTGAACTTATGAACTTACTCGTATATATTGACTTTATGAACTTATATATTTTGGGTGAACTTTAAAAGGCCACTCAACTGGTGTAATAGTAAATCACTCTATGTGCATTGACGTGCTGAGTTCACTGGTGCTTTTATTTTTGCTCTAGCTTTACTAGATTCAAGTTACTCGTATAAGCGAAAATTTTGTTGTGTTTAGCGATTTTTTCATTTATTTTATACACCCATACGCACTAAAAATTGATCTGGAGTAGCCAAATTCTAACGGGGCTGAGATGTCCATATGGTTCCACCTACTCTGTGAATTTGGTATTCCCAAGTGCCATAGGAGTTAATCACCAGGGGTTCGCACCAACCCCCCTTCCCCTGGCCGTCCGCGTTATGAAAAAGGCCCTGGCCGGGCGAGGGTTAAGTCCCTCCTCCCTCACACTTCACAGTTGGCACTGCAGTCTGCCGTAAGCTCAAGAACGATTTGTCTTGAATGATAGCAATCGCCAATAAAACAAAAACATGCTCTCTTGGATCTCTCCCAGGTCCCTGTCCTCCTACCCAGTTCGCAGCAATATTCTCTCAAGCTCTCTGGGATCCGTCCCTCCCCTCACACTTCGCAAATCACTGAATCCTGCCGCTAACGCTGAGTTTACGAAGAGCCTAAGCCACACATGTGCACGGATCCGAAAAAAATGTATCTGGGATCTGATCCCACGTACCTTGACCTGGAATTTAAAGGGATCATAGATAATAGATCCCTCTCTCAAATTTGTCGAGAAATCATCAATTGGGGTCTTAGATCCAAACCTGTTTGCCTAGAGATCTGGTGAGATCATAGATCCGTGTTCACTTTTTGTCAACATAGACATAT